TCAGTATTTTCACTATGCTAGTCTCTGTTCTTCCCTCAGTATTTTCACTATGCTAGTTTCTCTTCTTCCTTCAGTATTTTCACTATGCTAGTCTCTGTTCTTCCCTCAGTATTTTCACTATGCTAGTTTCTCTTCTTCCTTCAGTATTTTCACTATGCTAGTCTCTGTTCTTCCCTCAGTATGTTTACTATGCTAGTCTCTGTTCTTCCCTCAGTATTTTCACTATGCTAGTCTCTCTTCTTCCCTCAGTATTTTCACTATACTACTCTCTCGTTTTCTCTCAGTATTTTCCCTAGGCCTTCTGTCTCGCCTCGAGCGTTGTTCGTCGTTCACACATCTGCCCTCATTGCTCGCAGGTGACTCACTCAGCCGAGTGGAAAGCTTCGACCCAATCATGGTGTTAATTCTTCCTTCAGTATTTTTCCTGCGCTAGCCTTCTTTCTCGCCTCCTCAAACACTGCGCGTCGCTCACGCGTCCGCACGCGTTCGTTGCCCGCAGGTGACTCCCTCAGCCGGGTGGAAAGCTTCGACCCAATCATGGTGTTAATTCTTCCTTCAGTATTTTTCCTGCGCTAGCCTTCTTTCTCGTTCTTCTTTCTCGCCTCCTCAAACACTGCGCGTCGCTCACGCGTCCGCACGCGTTCGTTGCCCGCAGGTGACTCCCTCAGCCGGGTGGAGAGCTTCGACCCAATCATGGTGTTAATTCTTCTTTCAGTATTTTTCCTGCGCTAGCCTTCTTTCTCGCCTCTTCAAACACTGCGCGTCGCTCACGCGTCCGCACGCGTTCGTTGCCCGCAGGTGACTCCCTCAGCCGGGTGGAGAGCTTCGACCCGATCATGAGGAAGTGGGTCGTCACGCAGGCGATGTCGACGATGCGAAGCCGCGTCGGCGTCGGCGTGCTCCTCGGCAAGCTGTACGCGATCGGCGGATACAACGGACTCGAGCGTCTCGCCACCGTCGAGATGTTCGACTCACAGCAGAAGCAGTGGAAGGAGGTGGCGCCGATGAAGACGCGCCGCAGGTAGGTGGCGCTGGTGTGTCGTGGGTAGGTGGCGCCGGTGATGACGCATCATAGGTAGGTGGCGCCTGTGTATGCAGCTCATGTACTAGCGGACGAAATTTTGTTCAGTCAAATGTTAGGAAGTGTGTTAAAAGGGAACAACACTACTGGAATTTGAGAGTATATTACGATTGCATAAAAACAGTTTGAACCCACATATTTATGTTATCGGGCGTTCGCTTTTCGGGATAATGTGCGCGGAAGTAGTTGCAAGATTGTTCTGCTGCCGTGAGCAATAAACATTCGGTTATGTGCACCGTTCACTTGTTTTCAGTGCGCTGGGAGCCGTGGCGCTGGATCGGGAGCTGTTTGTATGCGGAGGGTACGACGGCGTCTCTTCTCTCAACTCCGTCGAATGCTACAATCCAGCAGCAAACACGTAAGCTATGCAGCTACGAAGGCTGGCGACCCTGCGATACATGCATGCAGCTGATGGGTGACGGTAGCTGAAAATCGTGCAATAAATGTAAATGCTTTTTTAGCTTAATTTTACACTTGGATGCATGCTCGTTTCACAGAGGTTGTGCAAGTTGTTGGAGAATCTAGTGCGGAAGAAAATGCGGCAGCTCTGTGCTACTGCGTTACCCAATAATCATTCCTCGCTCTTATTACAGTCTTTCCTTCCTTCTCGGGTGTCCGATTTCACTTCCTGGCTGCATAATTACCCTATGTGCTAACTAGGGTTATTAACATGTGTCTCTATGTGCAATTTTTATTTCTTACAGCTGGACGACGGTGTCCCCTATGGCCAAGAATCGGAGTGCATCAGGCGTGACCGTCCTTGAAGCCCAGATGTATGTCCTTGGAGGCCATGATGGACTCTCTATATTCAACTCGGTAAGTGCAGTGTACTCACACGTCATTACACATGCTATAACCGATTTGTTATGGGGAGAAACCCGTTTATATTTTGCGATATTAACATTGCAAGATATAATATATAATATGTATTGCGATTGGCAGTGGTGCGAGTGACCTAGCAATCACTGTTAACGTTGTCTTGTTGTCGACAGGTCGAATGTTACAACAAGATGAAAAACAAGTGGACGTCTGTGACGCCCATGCTAACGAAACGCTGCAGGCTGGGAGTTGCCTCACTGAACGGTAAAGTAACGGGAATGAGGGCGAAAAATCTATACTCTCCAGTGTGCTATTTTTTTTAACTTAAATGCAGTGCTGAAAATCACTATAATAATGGGAATAGAACATGAATAAGATTTTGATCCTTTTTAAAACATATTAGAGTACTTGCTATTATATACAATAATGTAACCCAACAAGAGTAACCCTACTCTTGTTGTGTTATATTATTGTATCTAACAGGGAAAAAATTTATTTTTCGGGGGATACTTTTCAAGCTCGCGTGCATGAAAATAGCACTCTAAAATTTGGTTTGCATTGAACTCTATGCAAATTTCCGGGGGCTCTTTTTGGCATTTCGGGGGCTAAATCGCCCCGAGCCCCCGTGTATTTTTTTCACTGGTATCTAATGAGAGTAGTGAGTGAAGGAGTGTACAATGTGTTGTTAGTCACGTTCGGATTTTTTCACTGCAGGTAAGATCTACGCTTGCGGGGGCTATGACGGATCGTCGTTTCTGCGCACGGTCGAGCGATTTGACGCAGCCACTCAGAGCTGGACCCTGATGGCGAGCATGAACGTTAAGCGCAGCCGCGTCGCCCTGGTGGCCAACCTTGGAAAGTAAGCACCCTCGCCTTACAATCGCTACGTTACGTTGCCGCCGCGTTATGTGGCATGACGCCGTGTTATTACACCTCGCTTGAATTACTAGATTGCAATTTCTTTGCGTAATATATGGTAATGTAATATAGTGCTGGTGGGTTGTTGAACTTCTTAGATTACTACGTTGCAATAGTGTAACACGGGAGTTGTTTGGTTGGTGCCCTGGTGGTACGTGGTTATTGGATCATTCATAAATTAATGTCGTTAATGTCTATCGCGTGACATTAACAAATTTGAATGCGCGAGTGTTGCCTACTTAATGCTCTCATCGCAAACTGGATCGCAAAGGTGGCGGTTTTCGGACGCGCTGCGATGGAACGACGGAGCGCGAGTGGCGTAGTTTCCGCGCGTAACATATGGCGCTCTCTTGCAGGCTGTACGCGATCGGCGGCTACGACGGAGTCACCAATCTGAGCTCGGTGGAGGTGTACGACCCGCTCACCGATTCGTGGGAGTTCCAGGCGCCGATGTGCGCTCATGTAGGTGGCGTCGGTGTCGGGGTCGTGTCGATCAGCCCGCCATGCGAAGTGGAGGCCGCTGAGAAGGGCGACTGAACGATGGCGGTGCGTCACCGACGATAGCAAATCTTACAACAGCAAGATGTTTTGTTAATTGGCAGCACGTGTGTGGAGCACGTTAAATTCCAGTGGAGCTGTACTGTAGTACTAAGAGGACGTGAGGGAGAGAGAGTAACATAGAACAAATCATAGGTAGACTATATATATATATATATATATATATATATATATATATATATATATGTATATAGTTATACTATACATTATAAGCTAGGGAAAGGGGAAGCTAAGAAGTGAAAAGTATGGACTATTTTCAATCTTTGGACAAATATTAAGGTCGACTGCAAACAAATAGGGACAACCAAGGAAAACCCGTAACAGCATTGATGGTAGTTGTCCGTAAATTTTCCCCGAAGTTTCTAAATAGTTCATACGTTTCAGTTCGTAGTGGTAGGTATTGATTGCACAGGATTTTGGTTTGTCACAATTCTTCTTACGTCCTCCAAGTAGCACGAATATTATGAAAGCTGTATTATACTATTTGTTTCATTACTAGTTTCTCGCACTCACGTCTAGACTGTTAATCGCGCTACAACTCGTGCCCACGTTGTATATCGTTGCATCCAAATACATTAGTCTCGTTACGGTACCCCAAGTTGTTGCTAGTCTATGTGGCTGTGCTAGTCCATGTGTCACCGTCTCTCAGAAGAAATTGCGATCGTGGGATTTCGAGAGTTATCCGAGGCAGTTATTATATGGTTTAGTTCTATGTTTGACTAGCACACTAGGCACACCAGTATACCAGCATGCCACATAACCCATATGCATCGGCATATTTTTGGTTTACTTGGTAGATATCTAGTGTTACAATGTTAGTAGTTATGTGGAAAGAAGGAGCGAGTTTTTTGCTATCTCATAGTGGAAACGAAGTTGATATTAGACCAGACCATATTAGATTATATTAGATTATATTAGATTATATTAGATTATATTAGATTATATTAGATTAGAATCTCATTTTCTCGCAGTCACCGATCGCACGGCACCGGCTGAAGAATATTTGTCATTGCTATATTTTATCAAAAGCTAATAATACATATAATGTATCATTAGCTCTTGATTTTATGTTAGTTTAATATTCTCCACGCTAATAGTATGGCTGAGAGGGTCTATGTCCCCCGGGGTACTGCCGGAACGTACCCTGGGTACGGTCCGGTATACCGGAACGTACCCTGGTACTATCTAATATGCCGGACCGTATCTCGCCTACTCCACTAACGAGTCTACGGAGTCGCCTACGCCTACTCCCTAACCCTAACCCTAACCATATTAGATAGTTACCAGGGTACGTTCCGGTATACCGGACCGTACCCAGGGTATGTTCCGGCAGTACTCTGGGGGACATAGACCCTATGAGCAATAGTAGGATGTGTCTCTCAATATTACGTCGATGTTGTCACTCGAAGGAAGGACTTTGCAGCACATTTATAACAAGGTGATCTCGTAGCGTTTTGCTGGCCAAGTTTTCTTGGGATCTCTTTGTCTTTAGCTAACTGCACAGTCTGTTGTGACGAGACAGTCCGTGCTGCCGCCGTCAGCACAAATCTTATTTGCCATGTTAGATTATGGTTGGATACCTTCCATACGGAAGGAGTGTAGTAGCGCTGAAGGGGTCGTCGTCGTATATGTAGTATGCGAGGTGTCGGCGAGTATGTCGCCTACGCCTACTCCCTAACCCTAACCCTAACCCTAACCATAACCCTAACACCCTAATCCTAACCATATCAGCGATAGTTACACTTGGGATAAGTATATTACGCATTATACGGAACATACACCACCACCCTTCAGGGCTGTAGTAGCAGTAGACAGGCGTTTCATTAGAAATCTCTGGTTCTCTCACTGAAAAAATGACTCTTTCAGGCGCGGGTGACCGTGTAATCATAATCGCGTACATCGACTGAGGGCATTTGTGTCTTGGTCTGAATGTATAATTCACAATAAGAAACTCCCCAGGAAACCTATTACCGGGATATATTAGATTAGATAGAGTTTCCAGTAATGGTGATGAATCGATTTGTTAGGTTTCTGAGTTCGTACGCAGTAATGGTAGCTAGAGCATTGAGAGGGGCTATAGTCTACCAGAGGTACTGCCGGACGTACCCTGGTACTATGCTTAAAGTATGCCGGACACGTGTAACTCTTCGAAACATACTCCACTAAGAGTCTAGGGAGTCGCTACGTTCTATATTGCCTATACCCTATCCCATGAAAACCCCTACCATACTCTCAGCTAGTTACCCAGGTTACGTGCCGGCCAGTAATCCCTGGTGGACATAGGCTACTTGATGAAGCTTAAGCGATACGCCAAGTCTGTAGGGAACAGTCAATATCAGGCATGGTGGAAACATGATACGTGGAAGTACAACTTACTCGTTAACAAGAGCGTATAAAGAAGTCTTCATTATACACTCTGGTCGTGTATGGCATATTAGCGGAGGAACGAGTCGCTGTGCAATCTAGTTACGTGATATTATTACCTTAAATTATGTGGTGCATAATTGCACGAATAGGTTTGCCGGTGTGCATCATGCGGTTTCTTGGAGTAGCTCTGATGTGTTTTCAGCATAGTGTAAAGCTAAAAAATAGCTACACTGAAGAAAGTAGGGAGTTATATGACCTTCTATATTATAGTTTGTACATTAATATTGAAGTAACAACCTGCTAATGTCTGTAATACCGGACGCACCGTTCTGGTTGCCTTCATGAGTGTGCGTCACGAAACCATTACTTCCCAGATGGAGACTCCAATTATGAGTACGCCGCCTAGCAGTATAATTATTGTACATGTATAGTAATTCAACATACGGAAAAACAAGAAATAAAATAAGACCTGTTATTCGAAATCGGTTTCTAGATAGTTGTTCTCTCTATCTATATCTGATATGTCTATTTATTTATATGGTACTTTAATCCATATCCTATCAGATTATATTCTCTCGGGAATAAGTGATCCTTATAACATATTCCGTCTAATATAGTTAGTTCTCTCCCCTTCCCGCTCACCCTCTCTCTCTCCTTGACTCTCACCCTCTCCCTCGCTCTCTTTCTCTCTCACACATAAACACACACACGCTCGCAATATTTCTCTTCACGCACGCACGCACGCACATACACACACGCAATTCTCTTGCTCACTTCTTTACTCCCCTCTAGCGTATAGTATCGTCCACGACCAGTCAAGCATGGAAAAACTTTCACTATCAAATGGCCGTATTTCAGCCTAAACTTGTTCACCCCCCCCCCCAAAGCACAAAAAGTGCATTTACGGCTATAATACGTGTTTTTACAGTCACAAAATCGCACATACACACCCACCAACGGATGCGCACACGCGGGTGTGGTCGCACGCACGCGTGCGCGTGTATTATAAGCGTAAATTCACATTTTGTGCCTCGGGGAGTGAAAAAGTTGGAGCCGAAATACGGTCATTTTGCTGCGAAAGTTTTTCAACGCTTGACTGGTCACGGGCGATACTATCCGCGAGAGGGGAGTAAGGAAGTGACAGAGGGAAAGGAATTGTCGCGTCCGTAATGTGCATATATGTATCTATGTACGTAAAACCACCTGGCTCTACACGAGTGTCTCGATAGTACATCTAGTTAGAGCTCTAGCCTTTCATTTGTGAAAGTGGGGTTCGAATCCCCGTTAATTATTTGCTAAAATATTTTCTAACTTGTGTCAGGTAAACGTATTGCAGACATGTATGCAAAGCATATTACGAACGCACGCACGCGCACACACACACGCGCATCGCGCAATTTCCATTTCAGTGTTGAACGTGCGTGCGTGCGTTCGTAATATGCTTTGCATGCATGTCTGCAATACGTTTACCTTTACACAAGTTAAAAATATTTTAGCAAATAATTAACAGGGATTCGAACTCCGCTTTCACAAATGAAAGGCTAGAGCTCTAACTAGATGTACTAACGAGACACTCGTGTAGCGCCAGGTGGGTTTACATAGATATACATATATGCACATTACGGACGCGACAATTCCTTTCCCTCTGTCACTTCTTTACTCCCCTCTCGCGGATAGTATAGCCCATGACCAGTCAAGCATGAAAAATCTTTGACGACCAAATGGCCGTATTTCAGCCTGAACTTTTTCACCCCCAAAAGCACAAATAGTGGATTTACGGCTATAATACGTGTTTTTACAGTCACAAAATCATACATACACAGTATTACACACCCACCAACGGATGCGCACACGCGGGTGTGGTCGCGCGCACGCGTGTGCGTGTATTATTGGCGTAAATTAACATTTTGTGCCTCGGGGAGTGAAAAAGTTGTAGCCGAAATACGGTCATTTTGCTGCGAAAGTTTTTTAACGCTTGAATGGTCACGGGCGAACTATCCGCGAGAGGGGTGTAAGGAAGGTGTGTCAAACTGCATGCAGCGCCATCTGTCGTGGAGTTTGGGTGTAAATTTCTTCCCTCCTTTCTCCTTCCTCGATCCTCCCCTCTCACTACCTTCCCCTCAGTATTTCCCTCCACCTCTCGTGGATAGTAAGGAATAAGTGATTACTTTTATCCACTGTTAATGTTACTGCTTGACACAGCAGATGAAAGGTCAGCGTAAAGAACCGGCAACTGTTTATTATTATTATTAAATCTTTATTGCATGTAATTCAACTACTAATACATATGATGTAATGAAGACAGTCTTTTTCATGGAGAAAAAATCTGATAAATGCAATAGTGTTGAGCAGTTAAAATAATAAAATTTCTGCGTGAACATTGTGTGTTACATAGTTCTGAGTGATACATGTTACATCAATTAAGGCTTTACATATTGTTACAGGACTGTGACATGAATCGACGTGAATGACAATATGAAACAACTATTGTGTACATCGTTAATCGGTCTATAGCGGCTGTTTAATGTGCTGTCGGCACTCGTGTAAAACAACCATTTTTACTTTATATATGAATCTAAGGTATATATGGTGACTCTAAAAAACTCAAACTACTTGTCACAGATTGTCCTTGAAATAACATTGAAAAAATAATTCACACTTCTGTGGGAACCATGATATATATAATGAAAGTGTCAATGACACTGTAGCTCACCACAAAAAAGGACACAAATGAGTGAGTAAGAAGAAGTCA